ACCGCCTCTGCCTCGGGGAGGGGCGGGGCCCAAAGTGGGCGGGGCCACGCGCTGATCAAGGGGCGGGCTCTCCGGCAGAAGGAGCCGCAGTTGGACGTTCATTGATTGATGTGTTTATTTAAAAAGAATTTTTCCCCGCCTTTCTCCTTGGAAAGGGCACCCAAGGCGGTTTACAACAAGGAAAGGCCACCCCCTGGACGCTCCCCCCCCGCCTCCCTCCCACAGTTTCCCTCCAAACTTTCAGGCTTTTTTTCTTTTTTTGCATAGGACTGAATTTCTTCTATTTGCACTCCCTTCTGCTGAGATTCATAGGAATTTCGTTTTTCGTTTTTTTTTTCCTCCTGAGGATCTGGTTTCTTCAGCTGGCAGGATGGCCCTGCCCCGCTGCCCGCACAGGGTTGTGGTCTCCTCAAAGGGTTCAAAGGGGCGCCTCTAGCTCCAATGCGGCTTGCTTTCCTCTCCGAGGGGGATTCGCTTGCAAACCAGGAGTCGATGAGGATGATGAGGATGAGGGTCTGTGCCACCCAGCCAGAACCCACTTAGAGTAGCCCTTAATGAGGCTTTCAAAGGAAGGGAGATCGTTAAGGAGGGGTTTTTACCAGTTCCGCTCCCTTATGGGCTGAGCGGGGATTCGAACCCGCTTCTCCGCAGCCCAAGCCTGCCACTGACACCGCCAGGGGATGGCCTCTCGCCAGGTCCACGTTTTGTGGCTATAGCCCTAAGTAGGGCAGGGGCCACTAGTGGGTCTCTCCCTACCAGGGCAAGAAGAGCCTTGTTCTGGGGCGGCCTCCTCGGGAGTAACATCTGGGCCAAAAAGCTAAGAGGGTCAAGGTGGCTTCCCGGAAGACTTCAAAGATCTTGCAAGTTTTCGGCTCTCTCTTGGCTTTTAACTGTTTTACATTTTCCTGTCGATTCCCAACATTTATTTTTAATGTTTTGATACAACTGTGTTTCCCTGAAAATAAGACAGGGCTTTATATTAATTTTTGCTCCAAAAATCCATTAGGGCTTATTTTCAAGGGATGTTTTATTTTTTTCATGTACCATAATCTAGATTTATTCAAATACAGTCCTGTCTTCTTCTTGTTGCTGCACAAGGGTGGAGGACTGGGATTTCACTGAACTGGGGCTTATTTTTGGGGTAGGGCTTCTATGACGAGCATTCTGAAAAATCCTACTAGGGCTTATTTTCAGTTTAGGTCTTATTTTCAGGGAAACAGGGTATCTGGGATAGGATTTATTGTTTATTTAAAATAATTTTATCCCACCTTTCTCCTTGGAAAAGGGCCCAAGGCGGCTTACCTCATCGAAAGACAATATTTAAGAAAGAAAAATAACAATGAGTATAAAAAGGCGGTGTACATCATTAAAAGGCAATATTTAAAGCTAAATACACAAAGTATAGAAATATTAAAAGGAACCACCACCACCACCACTCTGAGAAATGGTAAGCACAAGCCATACTAGAAACACAAAGCGGAGTCGCGCTGCTTCTGTTGACCATCTTTTAGCATTATATTATTTTGATCCTCTTTAGTATTTACATATGGGCTGTTCCTAGCTTTGAATATTGTGTTTTAGGGATGTCCTGTTTTGAAGGAGGGAGGGAGGGTGGAAATATTTTAAATCCGTAAAATAATTAAGAAACGGAGTCCTCTCTGCAAGGCCTGCCGTGGTAAATGAAGCAGTGGATGCGGGAATAGCCTCGAGTCACCTTTCATAAATACAGCAACAGCTGATTAAATAAGGCGCAGGATAGACGGTGCATGTCCCGGCCTATGGGATATTCTCTGTCCTTTAGCCGTTGCGGCTGTTCAGCTGATTTCTCTCTTAGAGATTAAAGGATTTGCCTTTCCCTTAAAATGCTTCTCTTCCTCGGTGCACCGAACGGGTGGAGATGAAGGGGGGCGAACGCGCACAAGCGTCCTTGCGTGTCCCTCTCACCTGCCCCCCCCCATGTACACGGAAAACAGCTGATCTTTTGCTGTCCCCTTGGCAGGAAACCGTTCCAGGATATGGTGAACCAGGGTGAACCAGGGTGCCCCGGAGCTTATCCAAAGGACGGCCCTGAAGAGGACAAGCGGTCGTGGGGGGCAGCTGCTCCTTGGGGGCTTGGGGGCAGTGGGAAAAGGATGCCAAGACTTCCTGAAAGCTTCCTTCCCAATAGGATGAGGCAGGCACAAATGGGATCTAAGACATGAACTCTGCCTAGGCCCAGAAAGCACACTGTTCTTGCCTCTTGAACCCTGAGCTGTCCTCAACGACCAGGGTCAACAAAAACTGCTCCAGACAAAACAGTTACATGGTCAGCGCACCCCATGGCTTGGACAAAGCGAGGTGCCTTACCTGGAATGACATCCAGGCCCACTCTAACCCACTTTCCCAGCCGCCCCTGGAAATTGCAGGATCTGAACCCATGACCTTCTGCCAGGAAAGGAGGGACTCCACAACTCAACAACAGCCCGTTCCCCCTGTCCCCATCCAAATTTGACTGGGTTACCCCAGAGGTGCCTGGGCCCCTCTGTTGGAACCTCGAGTCTGATCTTCTTCAAGCGCTCCGATTATATGA